CAAGGTTTATGTTTTTATTCTTTGGATGAGTATTTTTATTTGTTTGGGTCGTCAGACCAAACAAATAATGGTAGCGAAATTTCAGAGTCTAATGTTCTTAATTGCAAATGCCGAAAGTAGTCCACTTTTTTGAAGCGGTTACTTCCCTTTTGTATGTACACTAAAGCCGAAAAATTCAGGGGAGATCACTGCGTAAAGATGGTCAAAGACAGGCGCATCAATTTTCAAGCAAAGTAATTCCCGAATGGTCGAAGATTTCTAATATTGTTTTCTGGTATTTTCTGATCGAAAATAACTAAATACAAAGCGGACATTCAATCTCTGACACAGAAGTTTATGACAAACCTAACAACAAGTAGTTCTCAAAACAGCTTAAAACTAGCGATTTAAAAGAAAGAAATATTTTATTTTGTTACAAGTATCCAACAAATTACAACGCATTTAAAGTTAAACAATAGCGTTGGCTTATTGAATTGTCAATAAATGCACAATCACAAATTACGCGGATGAATATGATTTTATCAATGAAAATACTATTTTTAGCCATGTAGATTACCGAATACTACACAAACCGAGTAGTGGAATATATAGATTCTACATGTCGGACTGTTTTGGCGAGAGGATTTTCGCTAAAATATTTACTTCAATTTTAAACAACAGGTTTACCCTGAACAAAATACCTCGAAATTAATAAGGATTACAAACCTGAATGTAATGGAAGTTCTAAATTTAGAATGACTTGATATTATTCAGACATTCTGTGTATAACTCTCCGTGGTACAGTGGTAACGCGCTCGCTTAGTGAGTGAGAGGTCTCGAGTTCGAATCCCAGTCGAGGAAATTTTTTTTTTGTTAAATTCTTTTTTTAATTGTTTTTGTTAAGGAAGTAGCCATGATTTACAAGGATAAAGTGTGGCTGTCGTAAAAAAAGTACATATATGATTTTTTGATGCAACTCTAGTTATGCAGAATTCCGTATGTGCCTTACAAAATGAATTATAATACATAAAAATAAACTTATACAGGAACATGCATACAGATATACAGTACGATTTAGATTGCAAAGATCAGAAAATACCAAAGAACTTGAAGCCCTTTGATTCTTTATAAATATACATGCTTATAGTAAGCTTCAGGATTATTTACATCTGTGTTAAACAACAGTTTAAAGTCGTTACAAGCCCTAATTTAGAATAATATGGTTTTCTTCAGGCCGTTCACATATAAATTTAACCGTGGCTGAAGGGTTTTCGGGCTCGCTTAGGAAGCGAGAGGTCTGGAGTTCAAATCCCAGTAAAGGTAACTCATTTTTTTAAATTGTTAAAGTCAAATAAACATTGGATTGAATATCAGTGTTGCAATTAGTCTTATAGCCAATTTACTACAATTAAAACGCTGGAAAGCATTGGTGGCACTAAACATATAATCTCACAACCTGCACCTTTCTTACATTCTGAGACCCAAACAAATTCAGCGCCTTCTGTGCTTTGATTTGTTTTGTTTTTTGAAACCAATTACTTCCTAGCTCAGCATCATGGTACATTAACCAGCAAATTGTATTTAGGTAAACTTCATATAATTTATACTCAAATCGTATTTTTCTCGATTTTAAGTGTGTGAGAAACAGTGAATGTATAAAAAAGAATTAGATTGCGATCCACGATCTCTGGGCTTACGAATATTCAAACTCGATTTTTCACTTTGATTCGTGATTATCCGAGTACTCGGATACTCGCCCCAGCACTAAATACTCCCTAGATATTACATGGAGATAAATAAATTATCACCACTTTGTGCTTCAAAATCATGACTAGTCCTATAAAAACCATAACAAGCCTGTTACGTCTAATATATTGGACTAAATCATGACTGGTGACATGTCCAGAGTCCATACTCATTACTCGACAGCTGCGTTTTATGCACTTGCGTCTTGCGGGCAGATGGACCCTCATTAAACATAGAATACATACATACATATTTCATTTGTATAGAAATGTGATTTACGGTTGAGAATTGCTAGAAAACCAGAATCTAAAAAATTAACACTGACATGGGTACTGGTTGGGGACCACCAAAACCGGACAACCACCAAACCCGGACGGCCCTGAAAATGCTTAAATTAGTATTTTCTTTGTTCAGTGCTTGTCAGTCACTATTTTATCAACAATAAGTTCATGTTTCTTTTAAAATTATGTAAATAAATTTATTTCAACCTCTGTAAATGGTAATATTTTAATGTCTATTTCAAGATGTCGATGTTGAAATTCGGGGGTCAAGAAAGCAATGCCTGGCCTCATATACCAGCTATAATCATTTGCAGAGTGAATAATAGAATATCCAAAACTTCAGCATTTGTTGCTGACATATTGTATATCATGTTACAAATCAAAAATCAAAACACCCAAGCTTTTATCTGAATTAAATCACATCATGTACATATCTGTCCGGACACATGGTACTGTAGTGTAGACAATTTAGGTAATTTTGATACCCTCCTTGTCGAGCCTCAGATATAAGTGTCAATACAATCAGAAATAAACAAATAAGTTTGTTAGTTAGGAGAAGAACCTAGCTGAACTGTGTCAATTGTTTTGGTCGCTAGGTTGAAAATTATGAAATCTGTACAGAAAAATGTTCCAAAAGTGTCCGGTTGATGGTCTCCGACCAGTAGGGTTGGATATTGTTCTTCACGAAACGGTCCGATACCGATACCGGTACTGACGAAACGATACGGGTATTTTATCGATACTGATACTGATACTTTTACAATACCAAACCCTTTGCTGCAAGTATAAGAACTGAAGAGATATAACATGTTAATTGTAAAATACTTTTACTTTTTCATCAAAAGAACATGACATAATTTAAACACAGAAAAATATCTTATGCAGGACAGCGGTCTGCAGCTGAGAAGTCTACAAATTATTGTTTTAATCTTGATATCTCTACATAAGAATTTAAGATAGTTGATTATTTATTATTTTCTTAAAGCTATTATTATTACTGTGTAGAAATTTTATTCTGATGCTGATATTCTTTTTTAAATCAAATTATTGTTTACTGTAATAAATCAGGGTCTTTCAAATAGATTTGAATGACCCTGAATAAATGAAATCACTGGATTGGTTGGCTTACTTTGCAATTTGGAATTACATGTAATAAATTTCGTAAGATGTTTTTTCAAAGTCACTTATGTTTCCAGTCAGTTCTACTACAACAGCACAAACATATTTTCCACCAGTATTTAACTTAGAAATTTTGAAATACATGTATATGCACAGTCAGCACAGACTGTTTCCATTTTCATGTTAACCTAATATTAGTCCTTGTAGAAGTCATATGCTTTACAAATAATAAGGATTTGGTATTTATTAATATTGAATTTACCTTTCAAATTTAAACATCTTTTATTTTTCAATAGCATGCACCGTTGAACATCTTGCTACAGAAAAAAGGGTATTGTCCTTACCAAATTGCATAATTCCATACTGCTCAAATACGCAAAAATACTAACCAACATTTGCAAAAAAATCCTACAAAACACTATATGAAATATGTTTCAGTTGTTTAAAGTATCACAGATCTAAATGTGTAATACACACAAGTTGACCTTTGACAGGTGCATAATAGGCTATTCAAAAGAATATGCCTCCCTTTGATGTTGTTACTTTATCACCATCAAAGAGCCGCCGACATTTTTTGATTGAAGTTCTGTCAGCATTCTTTTGTTAAGAAAATGTGTACATGTTTAATAATAGTTCAGTGTTACACCAAAAACAAAAGGAGGCATATTTTGTTGCAATATTTCGGCCTCATTTATGTTCAAATCGTAATTCACGTGTGGATTTGTACATGTGGTAATGGATGAAAAGAACCTGGAAACATTAAATATGTATTCATTATGAGTGTTTAGTGACTAAACTGAAAAAAGGATTTAATTATTTTTTAAAAGCATTGTTTGAATAAACAATTGTCAGATGTTGGATTAACATTGTCATTACGGCAAAAGCTGTGTGCGATGTGTTTGGAAGGACTGTGTGCGATGTGCCGATGATCACTCAAGTATTTGATTTGTTTTCTCGTTGTTTCTTTGACATTTAAAACTTACAAACTTTTACCAAAATCAGTTCAAATAATTATATTTTCCTGCCGAGAACAAAAATATTATTATCTTGAACATAAGCGGCACAATTTTACAAAAATATCGCCGCGTCACAAACTTCAACTTTGCCGCGAAAGCCGTACTCGCCGCATGATAATAGTAATTCATAGTTTGTTTTACGTGTTTGTAGGCTGTTTTTATTTTAAAAATCTTCTTATTTTTTTGACATATTGACTATTAAATTATTTTTTTACAAAGTTACAAAAGTATCAAATCCAGTACCGGTATTTTACGAAACGGTATATACCGGTAATTTACGAAGTTACAATTCGGTACAGTCAAAATATATTGACGTGACAAAGCTTGATTCTGAGATATTTTCGTTCTAGGGCAGAATCTCGCTTTAAGAGGCGAGATATTGCCCAGACACGAAAATAGCACAATATCTCGTCGCGCAGTACAATTAGTTGGACTACAATTCGGTATAGGACCGATACCGGGAACCGGTGTCCAACCCTAGACATTGGCCGTGCCTAGCCCAACAAATTGTGCGCTTTAGGGCTTTTTATTATATAGATGATAGTCGCCCTTCTATGAAAAAAATCAGATTATAAAATCGGGCTTCACATAATGGAAGTTTGGGAGTAATTTACTCTTGTGACTTCCACAATATAATGCTTTTCCTTCTTTAACTATATAAAGTGACTTCCAATGTCAGACAATTTTCAGTCTCTGACTTCCAAATTTTGAAACCTAATGGAAGCCCTGGTCGGTCTTGCAATCGAAATATTGAGACTAGGGCCGTGCCCGTCTATAACCGACCCGTCTATAACATGTCTATGAAACTAGAAGGTTCCACTTACAAATATCAATTGTAATCATAAAAATACCAACTTACCACATGTAAAAATCATTTTTTCCCATTCAAACAACTTCTCTTTTGTTCTGCTGAAACAAATATAGATAAATTATCAATCGCAAATTATTCGCGATATTTACTATTTACCCGGAAGTACAATTAATTGGAGTTGGGTCAGACTATTACCTCCCTTTCCACACGTTTCGTCCCCGACTGTTCTCTCCCCGTTATGGTGAGAACTGTCCGAATATGTGCAGACTTTTTATTTTTATTATAATACATTGTATAATTGATTAATTAATATTATTATAAAAAAAATCATATAAATTAGACAAAAAGAATATATTAAATCAGTTTAAGTAAATTAATGATTGAACAATTTTGAATTTAATTTATTATGCTACTACAGTGCAGTACTGAGTAGTAAGTTTCATTTTTCATTTCATGCTTCTTTCCTTTTCTCAGTTGTTTATAAATTATATAATAATTATATATATTCAAAAAAAATAAAACTTCATTAAATTTAAATTTGGCGGTAATTTTAATTACACCAATACAATACAATACAATTTTAAATACACAATTGTGATAATGAATGATTATAGAAACATCAATTATTATGTTAGAATGTATGCAAATATTCAAATGTGATAAAAGGAGTAAATAAACAAAGAAATATCGTTATTATACCAGATCTATCATCCTATGAAGTTTCATGTCCATAGCTTTCATACTTGAGGAGAAATGGCCTGGACAAATATAAAGTATGAAAATTAACAAAGGGCAATAACTGTAAAAATAAGAAATGCAGAGTACCGGTTCTTGTGCACCGCACTTCTTCTTAATGAGATCTATCATCCTATGAAGTTTCAAGTCAATAGCTTTTATTCTTTCTGAGAAATGGCCCGGACAAAAATAAAGTATGAAAATTAACAAAGGGCAATAACTCAAAAAATAAGAAATGTAGAGTACCGGTTCTTGTGCAATGCACTTCTTCTTAATGAGATCTATCATCCTATGAAGTTTCAAGTCCATAGCTTTTATACTTTCCGAGAAATGGCTCAGACAAAAATAAAGTATGAAAATTAGCAAAGGGCAATAACTCAAAAAATAAGAAATGCTGAGTACCGGTTTTTGTGCACTGCACTTCTTCTTAATGAGATCTATCATCCTATAAAGTTTCAAGTCCATAGCTTTTATATATTAGGAGAAATGACCCGAACAAAAATAAAGTATGAAAATTAACAAAGGGCAATAACTCAAAAATTAGGTAGTGCAGAGTACCGGTTCATGTGCACTGCACTTTTTCTTAATGAGATCTATCATCCTATGAAGTTTCAAGTCCATAGCTTTTATAGTTGAAGAGAAATGGCCCGGACAAACTTAAAGTATGAAAATTTACAAAGGGCAATAACTCAAAAATTAAGAAGTGCAGAGTTCTGGTTCTTGTGCACTGCACTTCGGGTTTTTGAAAGAAGCATGCATACCAAGTTTGAAGTCAATCCGACTTAAAGTAACTGAGTTATGCACCGGACAAGCTTTAGGGGACGCCGACGCAGACAACGACAACGACGCCGCTGACAAAAGTAACCCCTATATGTCGCCTTTTGAAGGCGACACAAAAATCTTGAAAGAAGCATGCATACCAAGTTTGAAGTCAATCCGACTTATAGTGACTGAGTTATGCTCCGGACAAGCTTTAGGGGACGCAGACGCCGACAACGCCGCCGCCGATCACCGCCGACAAAAGTAATCCCATATGTCGCCTTTTGAAGGCGACACAAAAATCTTGTCCAGCCTTCACAGGTCAAACTACTGGTGGGATTTCAAGAGTGATCAGTACCATTCCTAGTTGTGCACAATACCGGCACGTTCCGCTTCGGTGCACAAAAAGGCCGCCATAACTATAAACAGAAAAATCTTGTCCGGCAAAAACTACTTGTGGGATTTCAACCAAACTTTATAAGAGTGATCAGTACCATCCCTAGTTATGCACATCACTGGCACGTTCCGCTTCACTGCACAAAATGGCCGCCAGAGCTAAAAATAGGAAAATATTGTCCGGCCTTCACAGGTCAAACTACTGGTGGGATGTCAACCAAATTTTTTACAGGAGTGATCAGTACCATCCCTTGTTGTGCACATCCATGGCATATTCCGCTTCGCTGCACAAAATGGCCGCCAGAGCTAAAAATAGAAAAATCATGTCCGGCCTTCACAGATCAACAACTGGTTGGATTTCAACCAAACTTTACAGGAGTGATCATTTTCATCCCTAGTTGTGCACAATACCGGCACGTTCCGCTTCGCTGCACAAAATGGCCACCAGAGCTAAACATAGAAAAATCTTGTCCGGCCTTCACAGGTCAAACTACTGGTGGGATTTCAACCAAACTTTACAGGAGTGATCATTACCATCCCTAGTTCTGCACAATACCGGCACGTTCCGCTTCGCTGCACAAAATGGCCACCAGAGCTAAAAATAGAGAAATCTTGTCTGGCTTTCACAGGTCATACTGCTGGTGGGATACCAAACTTTACAGGAGTGATCAGTACCATCCCTCGTGGTGCACATCATTGGCATGTTAGGCTTCGCTGCACAAAATGGCCATCAGAGCTATAAATAGAAAACAAAATTTGTCCGGCCTTCACATGTCAAACTACTGATGGGATTTCAACCAAACTTTACAGGAGTAATCAGTACCATCGCTAGTTGTGCACAATACAGCTTTGTTGCACAAAATGACCATCAGAGCTATAAATAGAAAAATCTTGTCGGATTTCATGAGTGACCATCGATAGTTTTGGGAGACATATGCTTTTGTGACAAAAACTCTTATAGTTGTACAAAGTTTTACAGTTCATTGCCCAGAGTATATTAATATTCCAATGACAACAAAACTTTCTACACTGGTGATAAAAGAAAACCTGTTCCGTGTCATTGCCGTGTTTCTTGTTTCTTTTTCCGATTTGTCCATCTCAATGGTAATTTTCGTTTAGGTTGAAACGGAGAATGCGCATAACAATGTTTCATTGAAATTTTCTGCTGATCACAGGACTGACAAACTTTTTATAAATGCACAAATTATAATAGAGACTTGTTAAATATTTCGTTTTCTTAAGAGCACAATATAGTGTTAGTTTCTAAATTAGTTTTCATACTTAGAAATTCCCATTTTCATCCAATCTCCTCATAATCTTACGGTTTTCCCTGCACTTTTTTCAGCCAATCGCTGGCCTTGGGAAAGCCTGACCTAAAGGGAATATCAAATGTTTAATATTATGATATCTTATAATAAATGAAGTCGCATTTACAATTACCAATTATATGGATGCATTTCACCACTCTTTAGTCGTTTAAAACAATTTGAAGTTCTTTTTTCTAACAAGCTCTATTATATGCCGTATTTCGAATATTCTGAAAATTAATGTTAGCATGTGATTTTCATACATCAGTCATTATTCTGAAGCTAATTTTGTAACAACTTCTATAGAAGCACTCAGATAGCAAAAATACTCTGTTTTCAGTACAGAAGTGCTTTATAATACATAATTTGTATCAAAAGGATGCAGCAGGGAGCAATTTCATCTCCCCACCCATAAAATATAAGTGATTCTCACCCAAATTTTAACACTTTTGTTACCAAAAAAAACTTCCTGAATGAAGATTAAGCTATACAAACATGCTATAAATAACTACTGTATGGTGGCCTGATCATGCATTACACACTATTAATTTGTACACAAGTAACATTTTGGTTGTAACAAAAATGCCACAAATCATTTATAAATATTGTTTTTCCTCTTTCATGGATATTAAAAAAATGCCATAAATGAAAACTCTAAGTTCCTCTAGACTTAACAACACAGTAATATCCTAAAATTTGAATTCTAAGCCCATTTTTGGGCAATTTTTGCATTCATTTGCAGCCAAATATGACACTGAAACCAACTTTCATGTGTTTTACCATGTAAATCACATCTTTAGACCAAAATGTACTTAGACTGGAAAGTATTTGTGTATTTTCTCCACAATGAGGTAACCAGAAACTAGAATTTAAGCACTTATCTAAGTTTCTAAATAAACAATAAAGGGTCCTAAGGTAATTCACTGAACTTGTGCATTATGATCCCCTTTGTGTAGATTTATCAACCTGAATATGGTATACACATTCGAAACATTAAAGCTGTGCTATAATTGTACCAAATATGCTTGTGAAAAACCAGATCAACTTTTGCATATCAAAAAACTTTTTCTACAAAATAATTCTACCTTTCGCCATTATAATGCACATTCAAAATATGCATTAAACAGACATACAGTCTAAAAAGTATGACATTATACACTGTAAATGTGTAAATGTTGATTACCAAATAGAAAACAATCAATTATTAACACTTTTTGCACCTAAACCACATGATAGGAGGCTATTCAGAAGGAACTGAACTGCAATAAGCTACATTTTAATGCATTTCAATCTCTAATAAGTAAGTGTTGATATTCAAGCCCTGAAACCAAGTCAGTTTTAAGACAGAAGCCTTAAAATACAACTTATTTGAAGCGTTCATGTTATCTATGCATGTAAATGATAACACATGGCATTCTTATATGCGAAACAGACATAGAAGATATTTACTTGTGACATTCTTAGTTAATATTCGAGCAAAATGGGAAACATTAAGTGCCAAGCGAAGACATTTCCGTCCCTAAACATAGTCGAAAAGATAATCGAAACAACATCCTAAATTATTTTAAGTATATATATATATTAACTTGGAACCTGACATTTATGCATTTGTAGTGATTTACCTCTAACACCCATCAAAAATGGCCAAAGTGCTTACATCAGGTCCTGTCAGGTTAACAGCGGAAAATAAACCTTTTCAAGGATAAACCTTTTCAAGGATAAAAAGATAAGATTCACCTTTGCCAGTATAAACTTTAAGGGGTGCAGTGTTGCACTTTCTTTTTTGATGACTATACCGTGATGTATTTCTTTCTCCGCACGTTGACAGTCATGTAGACCAAAAGTAATGTGTAATACACTTTACTTCTGATGACTTTTTTACATTCAAATTATTTACGTTTCCCATTCCAGTTCATAGTTTAGTTTATGCTTTGTTATACGTCTATACACCAAGCAGAGCTATTCAAAAAGTGTCTTCTTACGTCTGTAAGAAGACACTTTTAAATAACCGTTACTTTATACAGCTGAAATGTATGGTGTCCTGCTTGGGCCAGTTAAAGGACTCTTCTTGGAATGTTATATTTCTTTCCTATAGTCTTGCCCCGCCTTTCTGTACTTTTATAGATAAAGTACATTCTCGCAATAAACTTTTCGCGCCATTCAACGTTGAATTTGTCTCATGCTTGTACTTTCTCATACTTTAATCCTCGTGCGAATAAAAAATAAAACTTGGCGATGATTATGTTTAATTTCCGCATGTTTTTGCCTGAACTGTGACCTATGTCTATAGTGAAAGTTCTTCGCAAGAGAATGTTAAATCTCGCTACTTATCTATTAACAAGAGCCAGTGCGCTCGACTGTTCTTAGTGCTTGATAGTAAAACAAGAGCCTAAATAATGCATACTTTTTTAAGTTCAAAGGGCCATAGTTCTGTCAAAATTCATATTTACAATAGCTCTTCTACTTTTTCGAATAGTCGAGCGTAAAGTCAAGCTTAAATCGTAACAGGGATATTTTAACTGCCGCAAACAGGACACCATAGAAACTGACTGAAAGTTGTAGCAATGAATCAAATCAATTGGATGACCATTTCCAGGAACAAATTTACTGTTGATTTTAGCATTGACGAAACTAAAATGATGCTAAAACTCTATCATTTTTTTGGGTATATCGTCTGACATTATAAATCAAAGTGCTGAAAGCACTGATGGGGCCGCAAAATGTTGCATACAAAACTTTAAAGTTCGAGATTTGTAGAGCAATCTATTTCAGGTGTTCCAAGCTGATATCATTCCTATTTTCAAAGTAGTATAAGTGCCCACTTTGTATACAATATAAAAGTATTGCCTCCAAACTCTTGTCAAAATTGAAAATCATGTACCAACAGCATACTTACAAGCCGTGGCTAAATGCATAATTGATATCATATTATATAATGAATAAACATTTCAAAATATGACATTGGAATTTGTTGGGAAACTATAGTTGTTCAAGTTTATCTAAATTTTTCTTTCAACCAATTTTCATTTGAAGGACTTCCATATGTGAGTGTATAACACATAAATCAGTGCACTTACTATATTTATTTCAAGAAATGATTATGCAAATAGAAAATAAACAGAAAATTTAACTGTCTATGAAATATTTCTAAAATAAAACCAGAACTGTAAGAACAAACTTATTTTTTGTAGAAACCTTTCAAGCGCAATAAATAATACATGTGAGAATGTAAATTGGAATGGATACGTATAATGTAGTTGGCATTGAAAACAAGAGCCACTACCTAGCTTGGGCCATGCTCTGCTTTTTCTTATATAGAAAGTCAAACACATCAGTTTGAGAATATTGTAGTACCTATACGAGTACTCCTAGAAAACATAATATAAATGTATAAAGTAAATTTCAAATTTGAATTTGACTGTCAACACATTTAAGTAAATGTCATAGTTGAATAATAAATGTTCTTTTGTCAAAGAATGAATCAAATCATAGACAAAAAGCAGTTATGACAATGTGAGCAAAATAAATTGTTTAACCTTGGAGGTAATAGTCAGTTAAAGGTCAAAGTTTTATCAGAATAATTCAACATGTTGGTTTTGTGTTTGTTTGTCCAAGCATGAATCAAATCTGTAAAAAAATAACAAAGTAATGACAATTCTAGCTAATTTCAAAGATTTTTTATCAAATAAAGGTAAAGGCCATATAATATATGGACTTGAAGGGTTTTTGTCACAAAAACATATGTCTTCTAAAACTGTGTATGGTTCGGATCACTCCTTTGAATTTGGCAGAAATCCAGCAGGCAATTTGACATGTGATAAGATATTTCTATTTTTAACCCTAGGGGCCATTTTGTGCAGTGAAGCGGAACATGCCGGCAATGTGCACAACTAGGGATGGAACTGTTCACTCCTGTGAAGTTTCATTGAAATCTAACCCACAGTTCTATCTGTGAAAGCCAGACAAGATTTTTATATTTATAGCTCTGAGAGCCATTTTGTGCAGCAAAGTTAAACTTGCTAAAAGTGTCTGTGACAGAGTGGTCAAGGTTGTTGACTCTACCAGTCATGCTGGACAGTAACCATATTATGACCTTCACTGTGCCGATGCATTGTAAAAATCAAAGCAAAAAAAAAAAATTTTAAACATTTAAGAGTCAATGAGATATTGAGTTTGATTTTCTTTTATGTCTTAGCCTACAAGTTTGAAGAAAATAAAAATTCAAAATCAAAGTTTATACATTTGAACTTGAAGGTCAATATACATGTAATTCATGAATCAATGTCAACTTCAGTCTGGTCTTCTTAATGGTCTTGTCCAAAGAATTGTTGTGTCCAAGAATGAAGACAATCCGTTAAAAAATAATGGCTAAGTTTAAAGTTTCTGGTAAGCAACATGTGCAGGAACAGCAACTTGACTGTAGTAATAGCTCGAAATTCTGTTTTTAGCTAAACACATGCCCTAATTCATATCAGCTGCCTATATGTTTCACCTTTTTCAACAAAATTTGTTTTCAATAAAACAGGCAGAAGTGTTATAACAAGAGGGCCATGATGGCCCTGAGGTCGCTCACCTGTATAAAGGCACCCGGAGCGGGGCCAGTTTAAACCCCAGGGCTTTTATTTGAACAAACTTGGAAGACACCCATTAGAAGATGTTTCACAATGTTAAGTTTTTACTACACACATATAATGAAAAACAATGATCTACTGCCCCCCCCCCCCCTCCCGTTAGGGCCAATTTTAATCCAGGGGCTTTTATTTGACCAAACTTGGTAGACACCAATAAGAAGATGTTTCATGCTAAACATCTAAGCTCTAGCTCATTGGGTTTTTTAAAAGACGATTTTTTAAGTTTGTACTATACACATATAAGGAAAATCAATGACACCCGGGGCCGGGCCAATTTTGACCCCAGGGCTTTTATTTGAACAAGCTTTGTAGACATTCACTAGAAGATGTTTCATGCTTAATATCTAAACTCTAGCTATTTGGGTTTTTTCAAAGAAGATTTTTAAGTTTTTGCTATACACAAATAAGGAAAATCAATGACCCCCAGGGCGGGGCCAATTTTGACCCCAGGGCTTTTATTTGAACAAACTTGGTAGACACCCATTAGAACATGTTTCATGCTAAATATCTTAGCTCTAGCTCTTTGGGTTCTTTAAAAGAAGATTTTTTAAGTTTTTACTATATGCATATAGGGAAAATCAAAGACCCCCTGGGGCGGGGCCAATTTTGACCCCAGGGCTTTTATTTGAACAAACTTTGTAGACACTCACTAGAAGATGTTTCATGCTTAATATCTAAACTCTAGCTATTTGGGTTTTTTTCAAAGAAGATTTTTAAGTTTTTGCTATACACATATAAGGAAAATCAATGGCCCCCGGCGGGGCCAATTTTGACCCCAGGGCTTTTATTTGAACAAACTTTGTAGACAATCACTAGAAGATGTTTCATGCTTAATATCTAAACTCTAGCTATTTGGGTTTTTTCAAAGAAGATTTTTAAGTTTTTGCTATACACATATAAGGAAAATCAATGACCCCCTGGAGCAGGGCCAATTTTGACCCCAGGGATTTTATTTGAACAAACTTTGTAGACACTTACTAGAAGATGTTTCATGCTAATATCTAAACTCTAGCTATATGGGTTTTTTCAAAGAAGAATTTTTAAGTTTTTGCTATACACATATAAGGAAAATCAATGACCCCCGGGGCGGGGCCAATTTTGACCCTAGGGCTTTTATTTGAACAAACTTGGTAGACACCCATTAGAACATGTTTCATGCTAAATATCTTAGTTCTAGCTCTTTGGGTTCTTTAAAAGAAGATTTTTTAAGCTTTTACTATATGCATATAGGGAAAATCAATGACCCCCTGGGGAGGGGCCAATTTTGACCCAAGGGCTTTTATTTGAACAAACTTGGTAGACACTCATTAGATGATGTTTCATGCTAAATATCTTAGCTCTAGCTCTTTGGGTTCTTTAAAAGAATTTTTTTAAAGTTTTTACTATATGCATATAAGGAAAATCAATGACCCCCTGGGGCGGGGCCAATTTTGACCCTAGGGCTTTTATTTGAACAAACTTGGTAGACATCCATTAGAACATGTTTCATGCCAAATATCTTAGCTCTAGCTCTTTTGGTTTTTTAGAAGAAGATATTTTAAGTTTTTACTATATGCATATAGGGAAAATCAATGACCCCCTGGGGCGGGGCCAATTTTGACCCCAGGGCTTTTATTTGAACAATCTTGGTAGACACTCATTAGAAGATGTTTCATGCTAAATATCTTAGCTCTAGCTCTTTGGGTTCTTTAAAAGAAGATTTTTTTAAGTTTTTACTTTATGCATATAGGGAAAATCAATGACCCCCTGGGGCGGGGCCAATTTTGACCCCAGGGCTTTTATTTGAACAATCTTGGTAGACACTCACTAGAAGATGTTCCATGACAAATATCTAAGCTCTAGCTCTTTGGGTTTTTTAGAAGAAGATGTTTAAAGTTTTTTCTTTTGGTTGCCATGGAAACCAGAATTCTGCATGGAATGGAATTCTTTGAACAACTTTGTTAAGGCTTCACACAAGGAACATCCCTGTGGAGTTTCATTATGATCTGCCTTATGGTTTCAGAGGAGATGTCGTTTGAAAAGTGTGAACGGACAACGTACGACAGACGAAGAGTGATCCTAATAGCTCACCCTGAGCATATGCTCAGGTGAGCTAATAAAACTATGCAACTAGTAACTATCATACTAATGAATGAATTAACAATTATCAATAAGCATGTAACACAATTTGCCAAAAGTTTGATCAGAGCTACATTAATTACAGATTTTTGTTATGTCAAAAAAATTGTATGCAAAGGAACCAAATATTTATTTCCAAAGCAGTTTAAAATGATGGTGTCACACTGTATAAGTTATCATACTATTAACATAAACCTTTGTAGAAATCAAAAGTAGGCATTCATAGAAAATTCTCATATCATATTCGGTGCATTTATGGGCAATTATAATTTTTTCTAAATGAATAAATATCAATGAAACTTTTTGTGAGATTTGAAAAAGAGTCAAATTTATGCCCTTTCAATTTTAAGGGTTGTTTTCGCTTAACATCATAATTTCTATGCAGTTTTAGTCCTAACATTTTTCAAATAAATCTTCTATCCACTGGACAAGCCTAACAAAGATTTAACAAACTATTCCATATTTTTCAACTTAAAGATACATTTTCAAACAGTAACAAAAAACTAAAATTGTGATCAAACAACAATTTCTCTATGAAACAATTACATTTAGAATTAAAGCTACATGACTCCAGATATGCCAAAAGCAAATCAAACTTGATAAAAAAGGTATTAAGAAAAGTAAAAAGTGCAATAAAAACCTTACATTATGTGCCATTAATGACTGATTTTGCAATATTCAAATGATCACCATATTTCTACTGTGTGACTAACCCCAGGCTATTTTTGCATATTTTGGCGTCTTTTTGGTAAATTATATGGATTGTGTCATTAGCAATATGTACAATAGTCATTACTTTCTTTGTTAACTTCACAATATTTTACTTAAAATTACATTTTCAAAATTATCATAAAAAATAACAATAACCTGGAGGCATGCTGCTTCAAGATAAAAAAAACATCCTATTATATACATGTATAACATACTTGAGTATCTTTATAGGCTAGAAAAGCTACCAACAGCAATGAACTGAGAGTTATGGTATCAAACCCCAGGCCAGTGGGGCCATTTTCTCTTTAAGTTTAAACATTACTTTTGTACTTTTAGATTAGTTTAAGATAGAATACATTATCAATTTTAATTCTATACTTATTATAGGTATTCATTGGATTGAATAATAAATCATTCATTATTCAAAATTAAATGAAAGAGCATGGAAAAAATATTTTCAAGATCTAGTAAAAATCTAAATGTTTTTAAAATCTAGTAAAATCAAAACTATACAATAAGTATATTAATAAATATACTATAGGTACATTACATGTATTTTGGATAATACACTCTAAGCTGAAATATTTTAAATGGGTGTGGTAGTATAAATGTTTGTAAATATTGTAAGTTATCTAATCAATATGTCTGTTCTTAATAAAAGAAACTTGAGCTTGATATTTTTCTGTACAAACAAATTTCAAACATTGATAAGTTAGCTCATCTTCTTGGTGATGAACTGGCATCTCTATATACAAATGTGGTTCTGTTCAATCATAGGTTATCTCATGTTCTTTGTGATAAACTCTCACCTTGAAGTTTATAAAGTTCTGTTCATACATATTTCAAAAATAGATAAGTGGTGAAGTACTGGTGGCTCATTATAGTTCTATACATATTGTGATATTTCAAATATTGGAAAGTTATCTCACATTTTTAGTGAAAGACTGGTGACTAGTTTTCTCCTGAATGTCATTTCTTTTTCTAATTAGATTAAGTCAATGTACTATATTCATGAGGCTTTCGACATCATCCTATTATCCACTATTGCAAAGGGCAGGCAGTCCCCTGGTATTCCAATTTCTTTTCAGTTTTGAAAACCCAAATACCGGTATTTCGATTTCTCTAGTGTTTCCGACATTAAGACACATCTATCTTCCCTCATCACTCCTGCTATTACTGTTCTATCATACAAGCGCCCCTGTTTCCTGAAAAGTGAATTGCAGAATTAAAATTTCATTTTTTTTTTCCGAAGGGGTGGGGGGGGGGTGGCGGTACACTTTAAAGCACAGGTTATATGCCAAATTTCCAGCTTTGCTGGTTGAGGAAGACCTCGGGTGCCCCTATGTTGTGTATGATTTCAAGCACTAAACAGCATCCGAGTACAACCATCAATGTTCCATAAATGAGCTTGATAGCTTTCTCACATGAAAGAATCCATAAACCTTTGCAGAGCTCAAACCTACAGCAGTAAAAAGGCAGTTGGTTTAATGTCAAGAAACTAAACCAATCTGCCACAGACACCCCAAGTAATTTTATCTATTTGCTAAGCAGCAATTTTTACAAAATTATTTAAATTTATAAATGTGAGTGATTCTGATAAACTATAGACAGCTAAGTCAAGATAAGATTATCATATATGTCAGACAGCTTACTGTGAATATTCAATATTTTAATATGAATTGCCTCGAGGTGAAAAGGAAAGGAAAGCTGAATTCCTTGTCACAATTCTTCTTGGTACCTACTTTTGTTCCTAATTGCTAGTATAAGATGTTGTTTAATTAAACTGTAATTCTTTTTTTATTAATTTGACTTTTTGTGACAATAGACTATCCAGTGACAGAAGCTCACTGACTTAAAATAAACTGTCCTGCGTCGGCCTTTAAACAAGTCAAGAATAAAAAAGCTATTAGAATATAATTATTAAGAATATAATTATTAAGAAATATCATATACAAATACTTCTAAATAATAATGTACCTCTTCCTTAAATGCCCATGCTGTTGAAAGAAACATTTTTCCATTTATTCATTTTAAGGTTAGTCAGATTGACAGTCTCACATTTTAGCCTTTATCTCTCTTGATTCCATCCTCATTGACCCTATATCCTGTCCTTCACATTCACAAATCTGACATGTAGGTTTACCTTCTGAAACAGAAAGTTGGAAAGATAAAATATAATTAACCTATATAGCTCTTCAGCGCTTCTTATGTAAAATTCTTCCAAGTATAATTTCCAATAACCGTAAATTATACCATACCCAGACTATGGTATAATTTTCAGTTTTGAAGATCGAAGGAGTAAGTGTTTCTGGGCGGAGCTATAGGTTAAAACAGATACACCATTGGTGCGTTGGCGATTTCTGGGTTTGCGTAAATTATACCATAATCACGTGACCTTTCTTATGCCTTAACCTCACGAGACGAAGTCGAGTGAGGTTGCATAAGAAACCCAGAAATCGTCAACGCAGCAATGGTATATCTATTACTTATCATGAGATATACATATAGTATCCCAATAATTAGTTCATATCAAATAGATAATTTAAGAAACCATTTGTTTAAAATTGCCCAAGTACAAAGATTTTTAAACCAAATCTATGATATAATAAATACATTCTTTATTTACATGTAAGCTATAATTCAATTTACCAAGTCTTAGGACAGGTCTAGTATAGTAATTATAGTGTATATACAGTATGTACTATATGTCTTTACAATCTTCTATACTGTCCTGAAATTTTACATCCATTTCTCAGAAGTTGCAAAACCAAGTAAATGAAATTGTTCTGGGTTTGTATCATTCTGCACAACTTCTGATCACAAAAGCTTCAAGGACATTTATGAGTGAATCAGGTCCTATCCTGAAAGACTGTTGTGTTCAAGTTTAAAGACATTAATTCAAAAATAACAGAGTTATAGCCACTAATAGCAAAAAATCAAGCAAAATTTAGACATTTTACCTTGAATGTTAACATGAAGGTCAAGTTTAGTCTGGTCTACTTGAAGGGTTGTTGTGACCAAGAATGAGGACAATACACCAAGATCTGAAATAGTTATGAACAAGGTTTAAGTTTGTTGACAGCAATGGGAAAGCCGTCATGACTGTAACAATATATTTTGGTACGTCTACCCTATACGCACTGTTGAGCCTAGCCGTTCTGTATTTTTTCAATAATAAATAAATGTAATGATGAAGTCAGTAACTTGCAAGTCTTCTTACATTTTTACAAAGAATTAACATATAAAATTTATATTGTTTCTTAATAATTCTATGATGATGTTCAGCCATAATTTATATTATAACAAGATATCCAAAAGATCTATCAGAAATAACTTTAATGTCAATTATAGAGCTCTTGTATCATAGTTTGGGTACCTTTCTGTAGAAAAAGTGTCAGAGTTAAATCGTATACATATACATGCACAGTGCGGTAACTGGAGTGCAGGTATCAGTTACCCGCACTCCAGATAATGCCCGTGGATTGGTTCATTTTTGCCGGGGTTTACATATTGTGACGGCAGAGAAAGGGAAAGGGGCAGAACTATTATATTCAAATGCTCGTTCATTGGTTAATTTTTTCTGGGGTTTCATATTATGACAACAGGGAACGTGCTGTCATGTTTGACTATGATACAAAAGAGAAAGAACACCAAAACACTCGGCAATCTGATTTATACTCGGGGGCTACGCCCCCTCGTACAAATCAGATAGCCTCGTGTTTCGGTGCTCTTTCTATTACTTATCGCCCATTCTCAATAAAATAAAGCATTTGAGGTTGAAAAATATTAAAAATTTGATGTTGTCATTGTGTCATTTTTTATCGCTGAAGTAAAAGTTTAGGTTATTTTGCAAGTTTGCCAGAAATATTTTTAACAAGAAGCTATAATATAACAGGATGGCATTTATTTCGGTAATGACACTGTATTTCCTCGGTAACGTAGATTTCAGATCTAATAATGTAACATATTGGCTGCATATGAATAACAAATGTCTGTAAAATATATCAAAATCTGTAAATTCTCTATCTAGAGGAACTTCTAACCCAGGAAAATTTAAGGAAGTTGGGTACCTTGCTAATTTTCAGTTAATTTCTTCAAAGTTAAATATTCGTAGAAAGCAAAAAGAGTCAATTTTGGAAATGATTATTTTATGTCTTCATTCAAAGGATATAGAATCTATATCATATATAATATATGAGAGGTCGAATGCATACACAAATGTTGTATTTAGCATTTTCTTTTCAAAACATTCAACTTTCCACTTTCTTCATGTATGGAAAATTTATTGCTAAACAGTTCTATATTTATCCCCATATCCTTTCGACGGCCATAGCGTAATAAAACGTACCGAAAAATCGACTTCTCAAAAGCCGGTCGCTATAGTCATAAGAAGGCTATAACGTAATAAACCGGTATAAAATTTTAGCTTCCTGAAAGCCACTACTGTTTGTCGTAGGAAGGCCACCAAAATTTAGTTTTAAATGACTAAATTCTTGAAGTTTACCTTTCATTTATTTCATTCTGTTAAATGTTGTTCAAATAAAAACACCAAATATGTTAATTGTATAGTGCCCTTTATTGACAGATATAGTAAATGTTTAGATATACAGTACACTTTTTAATTAATGTGGTAATCAAATCGATATCCAAATTAATTGAAGAAAATCTTCTAAATGGTATAGTATTTTAAAATGCATTTATTGATACATCAAACGAAGTTTCTGTAAGCAGTTCTCTTATTTGAAACAAAAATGAGTTGAACTTACAAAATTCACGTTGAAAAGCATAGTATCAATCACCCTTCCTGAGAAAAATTGATTTTCATTGATTTTCAATAATTACGTTTTAAAACGTTGTGGACGTTTTACTCAACATGGTATTCTAATGGGCTATATAGGTAAATAACGTAAAATTTACCGTTTTAAAACGTTCAGAACTTGTTTTAAAAAACAAGATTGTGAGTCTGTTTATTGCAGTTGAACGTAATATTAACAGTGTTATACGGTATGGCTTTGTTGTTTATTGTATGCAGTTGAACAGCCATAGCGTAATATTTCGATTTTCATAAATACATTAAAAAACCAGAATGTACGAAAACGAGGTTTTTACTGGGTTGCATGAAACAAAATTCAAGTTTTACGCTGATTTACGCTACGGTTTCTAGAAAGGTATATTTTTGATACGTTTAACTACGCTATAGACGTCTGTCGTAATATAAGACTGGCTTTCAGAAATGTAAAAATTCGATACGTTTTCTTACGCTTTGGCCGTCCTACGGGTATAGCGGATGGCCGTCGAAAGGATATAGGATGTCACGTATGTTTCATTTTATTTAAATACAAGTAAAGGTTACGAAAACAAATTTAATCTTTGTAAAATAATTTATATTTATGGATATTATTTTAACATTATTATATATAGAATGAAATACGGCCAGTAAGCTCTTTGCAGATCGAATCAGTTGTTGCTGAGAACTTCAATGTCTTGTAACATATTTTTAATATTTCTGCTGGTACATCAACATATTATTAACATATCTTTCCTTTGCAAAAACACTTTTGTACCTTCTTACATCTAAAACAAGGCAACCGTTACTAACAGGCATGCTAATCCCAATTTTATCTTTAATTTTCAAAAATTGTTTAATTGTAAGTTGGAGTAACGTATGTTTCACACTGGCTTATTTATGAACTTAATAACGGAATTGAAACTTACATGTAAAATCGACTGTTTTATTTAGGAATCAAATGTACATCATTCTATTGTCATAAAAATGCGATTTTATGTTTTTATATGTGCATGTGTAAACAATATAAAGTCTGTTTGATAAAAGTAACGTTTGTTTCACTGTGGTTACTTAAACAAGTTAAAACTCGACCAAAGTTAACAAAATTTACTTACTAATGTCAAATTGAAGTTTGTGTTGCTGTTATACTTGCTTTCTGACTTCAATTTCCCTTTTGATAAAATTACTTTAAAAAGTTGGCAACGTATGTTTCTTTAACGTATGTTTCATTTTTAAATTGAAAGTGGGTTGAAAAATGATGCAAAAGCGTATAACCCGCCATAATTTGTGGTTTATATATCAGAGTTACACACAGGTTAATTTTCTTTCTTGTTTGGAGTCTTCTTTGAATGGATTACCTCTTAAACAATGGTAACGACTATGTTTCTTTTTAAAATGCTGTTGAAAAAATTTGAATAAAAAATGAAAAATTCCGAAAATAGAATGATATTTGAGAGGCTGCAAGCTTATTTTTACTTATAATTACATATACGCTGTATTATTAAGCATGCATCGATTCAATTATGTAATTTCTGTTTCACTTCTAACTGTTTTAGGTTTGTCACTATTTATTTATATGCATTTGGCGACATTTGATCATCCATTATATCAATGAGATTTTAACAGTCAAATTTGATTTTTACCAATAATCAAAGTGCATATACACGCAGCAATGACTAATTGCACATGTTTCGTTTATTCTGGAACTTATTTTTCTGAAACACAATTTCAAAGTTGAAAATTCTAGGTGGCGACAGTAAAGTATGTTACATTTTAGGGAATTAATGGTACTTGTAAAAGAAAAATAACAAATAGAAATGTTAAACTGAGAGAGTCCCTATTAGACAAAGTGGCAGCCACCTTTCTAACGACATTTTGACCTCAAGAAAAACCTTCGTATACATGTAGGAGCTACCCAGTGGAACATCAAATGCTGTGTTTTATTGAGAATGAGTGTTATGCAAAATGTAATGGTAAGCAAACATCCGGCATGAAATTTTCAAGTAGCTAAAAGTTAAATTATTAAAAATACTTTGTCATAATCCAACTACAGCTGGAAATTGACCCACATGTTTGATTACAAATGTTTTACATCAATATTCATTATTGTCCATAGAAATGATTTAATAATTTTAAGTCTATATTTCTCTTTGCGTTTTCACACAGACTTAAACTAGTCATTCACGCCATGATTTTCAGAAGGAAAAAAATCTTCTGATCATCAAACACTAAAAATTAATATACCAACTGTAAATTGTATATGATATTCAATAAAATCTTTTAGAAAAACAAGCTTGCGAATAATTGTTTTAGGCAACTCATTTTTAAAATGCTGTAAGGCTAGCCTCAACAGCAAGTATATGCTTGTCGTATGTGACTCCTGTACAGCCAGCACTTTTGTCAAACAATACTAGTTTATACTGCTAGCCGCTGCCATTGTAAATTATTCCTTCCTCTACCAACTCACATACTTTCATCAACAAAAATTATGAATATAATAATCATATAGATGTTAGACAATAAATGTAATGATGACTAAAATAAATATGATGTATGTAAAATTCCGCTGCTAAAGACAAGTTGTTTTTATTGATTCAATGTTTGTATCAACAAAGGTAATTAGGTAAGTTTCATCACCGTATGATGACTTTTAAATTTTTGTTTAAAGTGAAAATTGATAGTCATCAAATTATTCTGAATATAACATACTGTTATATTTAATAATATAATCAGTAATCTTATTATTATTGACCTGTGGTTTTGAATACAACTACTATTTTCATATAAATGTCTATAACTTTACAAATAAAAAATCTATAAAATTATGGACTGACCATAAATATCATGAAATCCTACATCTGATGAAGGCAAAACTGTGGAAATCAGATCTACATGTATGAAATATTAAGTAGATATGAACTTTAGTCATATTGTATAACAATTGTAATTATTACCAGTCCTCTAAAATTTTGGGACGAGTTAAACAAGTGCCGAGTCTGTTGAAACGGACTTCTTTCACATGATTTTATGCATTATTAATCACTAAAGGGAAATACAAAGGGATAAAGTAATTGTTATACCAGATTGCAATTATTTTTCAAGGTAAAGTGAAATATAAACAATGAATATCATACAGTCATATTCAACAGTGAACAAAATTTTGCAATGTTTACCTGCTTATCTTGTCAACATGGTGATTACACAAATACGGGAAAATTTAACGTACATGAGAAAATAGTATGTATTCATATTTCATTCGCATTATACAAAGTTCTTACAATATATTTGCACTTTTGAAGCATTTCAAAGCTTATCGATTTGAAAAAAAAACCCAACATATTGCAATATTTTGTTAGTTGTTGCGTTTTATGATAGTCAGTTCACTTATGACTAAATAATGTTGGTACTATATAATGCACGTTCTTTGACTCTAATTGATAGGATTTAACTCATTACAGGACTTGGACATAGTCTCAATATTTCGACGGCAAGACAGACCGATTTTATAATCTGATATTTCATAGATGTCTGTCTTTACGAAGGGCGACCATCGTCTATATAAAAAA